AAAAAAAAAAAAAAAAAAAAAAAAAAAAAAAAAAAAAAAAAAAAAAAAAAAAAAAAAAAAAAAAAAAAAAAAAAGAAGAAAAAAAAAAAAAAAAAAAAAAAAAAAAAAAAAAAAAAAAAAAAAAAAAAAAAAAAAAAGGAAATAGAATAAAGTAAAAACCAAAAAAAAATAAAACAAAAGAATAAAATAAAATAAAATAATTAACATGGAAATATGAATATTGTATATTTAGAAATCGCCTTATTCAAATTCTCTAGAATAATATGGCAGAATATTCTCTGAGAGGTTGTGTTCATTACTTTTAAAAAATGGCTAGTTTATCCTTTTGACGGAAAACAATTTCCATCTCGTGATAAGGAGTTGAAACGAAACACAATCTACTTTAGTACTTCATGATACACAAAATGAATCGCTATAACTTTAAAAATACGTGTGTCGGTAAAAGAGAGAATTTCGTTAAGTGAACGTTTTCATAAAAATGTCCAGCTACTTGGTTCACGAGGAGGTATGTATCTTAGATTAAATTGTAACTAATAAGCAAAAAAAAGTAATACCTTTACAATTATTTTAGTTCCCATCCATATATATATAATATTAACGCGTTCTATTATATCGAAATTTGTATTATTTAAAGGTTGGAGAAAGTTCAACTGCATCCAGAGCCATAAATGAAGTTTGTTCAAACAACACAATTTGTACAAATGATGGAGGTTCAGTCCAGCATATATTGGAACATATCAACTGCATCGTTGCTCACATCATGAAAACAACCAAACGGCCCAAAATCTTTTAAATCCTATTATTGCTACACTTAACTCTACAACTAATCATGTAGATTACCTTCTCAAGTGTATCCAAAGCGACGAAAGATCGCTAACACATTATCTAGTACTTAAAACATTGCTTGAGGATTCTTCGGATTCATTACCCACTGGTACATTACGTAAAGTAATAAAAGTACTCCGTGACCAATCAATTTATGAAGATCATGATGAAAGCACAACTATCATGCTAGAATTAAATTTACGTGCTTTATTGGCAGCTATTTATAAGTACAGTTCATTAGCGGTACCCATTCACAAGTTTAATGAAGAGCTCTTTGGTGAGCTAATAAATTTTGCAAAGTTTCATATTACTAACTCAAATGATGCTATTCCAAAAATAATGAAGAAAGTAGGTTCACAGCAAACGCCTAGTTTTTTTGCTGGGTTTGACATAAATGATTTGGGTATCCACGATAAGAAACTTTTGAGAAATTACAACGTTGATTTCCTGTTAACATTGCTTCGAGATATGATTCATGATATGGAAGACGACAATACTACAGCTTCTGAAGTATTACGACGGACACAAAAAGCAGCTACGTTGACCATAAATAGTGCCACCTCTAAACTTATTCAAACCAAATTATTTGCTTCTAGTGTTGATGAAACTGGCTTAATTGAACAATTACGTCAAATATTTAGCTTTAAGTATCCAAAATGCTCTTGGTATCCTAAATTGAAAAACTTAATAAAGAAAAAAGATAATTTATTCAAGTTAGCATTGGATAATGCTGATAGAGAAATTCAAGAACGAGAACTAGTTGAAGAGCTTTGGTTTCATGCATCAGTAGAATGGTCAATTCAACGCCAAGATTCAAATTATGAATCAAAAGAAGCTTATGATACAACCGCACAAAATATCAATTCATTTCTTGGAAATGAACCATTAGCGCGTGATAAATCTTTTTGGTTTGGAATTCTCGACATTGCTCAAGAGCTAGCAATCAGATCGAAATCATTCAAGACTTTAAGTTACATTTATTATTTAGCTCTGCAATCATTACAACGTGCACGTGGAAATTATATCCGCTCGAAAGCAATTGAACTTTTAATTACCCTTGCTACAAGACACTCAATGTACATATCAGAATTCAAAGTAAATTTCGTAGAATTTTTAGTTGGTTTAAACAACCACGGGCCATATGAACGGGAAAAATGTCAGAAGCTTTTCAATATAACCATTCGGAGATTCTATTTATATAGGTATATGACTGACGATTATATTAAAAAGTATTATAATACTGTATACCAGTCAGAAGCAGGTAATTCCTTTACTTCGAATCTCAGTGCAAAAGAGACTGTCCCATTGGATATTATTGCAAATGAACTAGTATGTCCGATTACTAATGATTATAATAAAGCTTTCAAAAAATTGCCATGTAGACACTACCTTAGTGAAATAGGAATCAAAGGGTGGGCCGAAGAGTGTAAAAGCAATAATAAGCTCTTTTCCTGTTGTATTTGTCGTGCTGAGTTCCAGGATAAAGAAGTTAAAGATGCACCATTATCTACCTTATACCGTGACATGTATAATCACTTAGATTCTATAGGTTATTTGTTCAAGCAAGAAACTATAACCGCATTTCTTCCACCTGAAGTTATCATCGGTGTCCAACAAAATTCTAGAACTAAGATAAAAGTTCTTGGATTAATCAAAAAACGTAGTTTAGCATATAAGCAAGCAAAAGCATCTTTAAAAAACGAAGATTATGTGTTGGCCATTTATTGGCTTAACAACATTCTTGAAACCTGGCCGGATAGTTATAGCATACGCTGCAAACGAGCATGGGCATTACAACAAGTCGGGGATCTTTATCAAGCAATCTCGGATTTGAATATTGCTGCTCATTTAAAACCTTCAAAAACAAATGCTTGGAATCTTCTTGCTAGTGTATATATTCAAATGGGTGTTCCTAAATTGGCACTTCGCCATATATCCCAGGCCCTTGAGCTCGATCAAGGAAATCCACAATTTTTATTAATGCGTAGTACAATATATAAAAGATTACATCAGCATGAACATGCGTTACGTGATTTGGATATTATTTTGTTTTCTCAATCAACGAGCTCGTCTCGGTTAAAGCCATTAATTGCAATGTTAAAATTTAAAAATTCAAGGTACATTCAACCAGGAAATAAGACGATACTTTGACGAGACGTAGCAAATTATATGATCAAAATAATTATACTTTAGCCAAAAATGACCTGAAAACGCTTTTAAATTGGGAAAGTGATCATTTAGAAGGACTTAAATTACGTGGAAGGATTCATAATGATACATATCAATACTTCTCGGCTATATCGGATTTTGACAATTTACAGGAGTTCAATCCAAAGGATACAGAAGTATTATATTATAGAGCATTGGTTTACGTAAAAATTGGCAAATATGAAGGGGCTAGCGGAGTCAGATCGTCTTATAAATCTTGATCCAGCAAATGGTCACTCGTATTACCTACGGGGCTGGATCCTGTATCATATGGGCGAGTACGAAAGTGCATTAGATTATTGGTATGCCGCATACATTGTTGAAGGTCAGAATATGGGTTATCATCATCTACAAATTTGGATATACTTTCGTTTATTTAATTACAGGGATGCAATTTCTATTCTTAGTGATATTATTGAATATTACTATGAAGAAGTTATTAATGGAAACAGATTCTATATTGATTTTATTGTATTACGGGGATTTCTCTATAGCATTTTGGAAGATAAAGAAGAGAATGCTTTAAATGACTTTCAGATAATATTAGAAGTCGATTCAGAAAATGCAGAAGCATTAGCATGCCGTGGTAATCTTTACACTAGGCTTAAGAACTTTGAAATGGCAAAGGAAGATCTTAATGCCGCAATAGAGATTAACCTAAAATATGGAGAAGCGGTCATAGAAGTATTCCAATATCGTGCATATTTGTATTATAAGACGGGAGATTATGAAAATTCTTTAAAAGATTTGGATACATCAGATAATTTGTGTTCTGAAATGAGTAGTATGGTATCGTCGAAAAAAAATTATAGCAGAGTATCTCATCTTTATCGGGGAATCATTTACCATAAACTTGGGAAATATGAAAATGCATTAGAAAATTTAGACAAATCAATAGAAATTTTGCAGGACAAAATGACTATGATTCCACTTGTCGAACGTGCGTTTGTATATTATTCAGTCAGCCGATTCGAGGGTGCATTAATGGATTTAAAAAAAGCATTAATAGTTGAGCCAAAAAATGTTTACATGTCAAAAGCCATGTCTGATGGAATTCGTCTTTATGGAATTATGTATCGTTTAGATCCTTGTATGAAAACAAAACTTAATTGGTTAGATCTCAGAAACCCAGATCCACAAATGCCACTTTCAACTTTGAAACGTCTTAAAGAGGAAACCTCGTTCCAAGACGACACAAATGATATATTTGATTATGATTATGATATTGAAAAAAATCCAAAAGCACTAGAAGAGTTTTTTCAACAATTTGAACTACTGCTTTCAAAGACTAAAAAAACCGATTCGATAAGTGACGACGACAGTGACTCATTCGACCTAAATTGTGATAGTGACTCACTCGACATAAAATACGATAGCAATGATGAACCTGATTTTACTAATGATAACACGCTTAAAAAATTCGATCCGATGAATGACAAAGATAGTATAGAACATGACTTAACCGATGATAATAATAATGAACCAAACTTAATCGATAGAGATAATATATTGCCTGTTGAATTTCTAGATACGGCTAAAGAAGTTATTGAAGACGAGATAATGGCAGAATCAGGGCAAGTTTATAAAGCACTAAATAAAGAAAATGAGGTTGACCGATATGAAGAGTCTACAATAAATGAAAAAAGTAGTTTTCGCCTAGAATTTACAAGTACACCCGATAAGTTCGATGTATTAGATGCTGCAAGACTAGAAAAAGGTTATCTTGATCAAAAATTATTTGACATGGCAATGGATTTGTTTGAAAAAGACGATAACCATATGTGTAAAGAAATCTACAGAGGATTGCTGCTAATAAAGGAAAAATATTCTCAAATTCTAATAACTCGAAAAGAATCTGCAAATAATGTTTAACATTCCGCATTTTTTATTCCACTGTTTCAATATATGCATATCTCAAAATAAATATTAGATACTGTATTATAACAACATTGTACTTAACATTATCTATCGAGTCCTCGTAGCTTATTAGTTAAAATAAAGTTCAAAATAGAACTTACTGCGCATTATTAATAATAAATTTATAATTTAAGTTCGATATGTACAGATTTTAGTGAATAATCGGAATTGATTTAGAGAGTTAACTGAATAATTTTAGCATCAAGAATAACCATAATCATTATCGAAATTAATAACTAATTAAATAACTAATTATTAGTTTCATAAGCACTAATTTTGTCATGATAAATTAGAATTAGTGAAGTATCAAAACCATCAAGTTGTTTGTTCAGAGACGGTAGTCATTTTCTGCGTCGATATTCACGTTTCACTAATAAAATTATCGATAGAACTATTTAGCTCATTAAACTTCATATAAAATAATCTCGAGAAAATACTCCGTGATCTTGATATAGTGATCTGGGTATAATACCCTTTTGCAATGCCCCGTGAAAAGTACCTTGGTGTAAAACGCGGCGTCTCTCTCAATTAACATGGATTTTCCAAATTTCTAGACTGTTTATTATAATTGTGGGGTATATTTAATCTACCAGTGTTGGACAATTTGACCAATTTTGCTCCATTGGGCTTATAGATCCCAATTGGAGCGTATAAATCCAATTACAATTCAAATTATTGGACTTATAAAGGTGACCAACACTGAATAGTATATATGTACTGTGTATAAATTTCTCTTTCTCGCCACATAGCCTTACTACTATAATATACCCAAGTCTTTGTAAGTTTTTTGTCGGGTATTTTGCATTAGTCCTAGGTCTTTTAGTCAGTGCACAGCAGCAATAATCTAAATTTATATTGGTACATAATGTCACGTTATGTGACGTACAATAACGTAACTAAATATCAGAAAATATCAGAAAAGTTTAGGAAAACATAGAATCCTAAAGTTTATTATAAATTGATCGCGTACAGAACTTAAATATTACAAATAAGATTGCAAGATAATATACGAATAACATAAAAGTAACTAAATGTTTACGTATTATCCCGCGATTTGATTGGACTATGATGTGTTCTTGGTTTAATTATTATTTAACAAGTTTAGAACGTAGAATTTCCGCTACGTTCAGGGTGATAAAAATTTAACTAGATTAATATTATATTAAATTTTTCTATTACTGTATTGTAAATTAAAAGAAAAGTATTCAACAATTATTAACATTAGAACAAACGAAAGTACAGTAATAAAAATAAATTAATAGGGTAAATAAAATTCTGTATATAAATACTGTATATATTTAAAGATTTGTATTTAAACAATAATCATACTGTAAAGAATGTACAGCATATGGTTAATTATTCCTACTGACCATTATTTTTTAAAAATAGGAAGATTGGGAGTTTTATCTTTAACGACAGCTTCCAACTCTTTTCCATCTATTCCAAGAACGGAAAGAATAAAAGGTGCAATTGAGCGGGTTTCGATCTTATCATCACATTGTTTTCCTTTAATCTTGGGGTTATAGACTATAATTGGAACGTGATAATCATCTTCGTTGAAGCCACCATGTTCAGCAATCTTTGCTGTTGAAGTGGAGTAAATAACACCAGGCTTGACTTTAATAGCAATATCGGGACATCGAGTATCATTTTTTGGATCACAACCAAATTCACTCTTGAGGGTTTTTCCTTCATATACAGTTGTAATACCGAGATGTGTTTTGTTTTTATTAAGACTAGCTGCTGCAGCTGATGAATCGTTATGATCTTTTAACCAAAATAGTGCAACATCATCAGTAGTTAATTGATTAATTTTGTCAGCACCGACTTGGGAAGTTAAATATGTATCATTAATTCTATGAAGTAATTTTTTATTAATAGGAGATTGGCCATGTTTTGCGGAAATGACGATGATTGTATCATCCTCCAAATCCTTTTTTTTTAATTCATCAAGGAATTTTTTAAGAATTCCATCAACATATTTAAAAGCACCTTCGAGGACGGAAGATGGAGTAGCTTTGGCATCCTTATAACCACCAGCAGTAGATTTTTGAGCAACGCTAACAGTCTGGAAATTACCACCGAAAATATTGGGAACATTGAAACTTGAACCGTTAACTCTTCTACCATTTATCCAATTTAATATGGCCACAGTATGATTATTATCATATTGTTCGACTTGTGTAACGTTGGTTTTATTGATGCTAGCAATTTCCGGACCCCAGAAATCATCAACACCTTTTCCAGAAGGACCATTGACGATTGAATATGCAGGTAATTTATCAACCCAAGCAGTTGTGAGGTTATGTTTCTTAGCGACTTCAAAAATTGTATTAACACGAAGGAAATCCCATGGTTGAACTTTTACACAGGTACCATTTTCATCAAGTCGTTCTGGGAGAGCAGTTTGATTAATGGTAGCGTTAAGTTTTGTCTGGTCTAAATCAAGTGTTTCATCCCAGAGAACATTATAACCAGGGCTGCAAGTACAATTGGAGCCAGGTGCAAAATAAGTTCCATCCCTAAAAATAAAAATAAAAAGTTAAAATATGAAATCAATTTTTTTTTCAATACAAGATTGATATATTATTATTATTATTAATTTAATATTTTTAATAGTGAACACCTACCAAGAATTATCATACCAAACACCAGTGGTTGCAGGTTTACCACCAGTAATTTGAGCCATAAGACCTGGGAAAGAATCAGTTGGTAAGGAATCTTTAACGTTCGTGAAATATATGGAATTTTTAAGAATGGTTGCAAGTGTGGATTTTGGATTAGCCTTTGTAAACACATCTACATCAACTTTATGGAGACCATCAATTGAAATGAGTAAGACACGTTCGATATCGCATTCTTCTTTTTCTATATGCACTTTATGTACTTTTACTTCATCTTCATCTACTTCATGCACTTCATGATGTACTTTATGTACTTCATGTTTTTCAGGGTATTCGATAATTTTCTTGTATGGTCTTTTTTTTTCAGTACAGGTGGGTTCTGGAGTAGTAGTAGTACAGGAAGTAGTAGTGGCGGGAGGGGTAGTAGTGGGGGGAGGGGTAGTAGTGGTACAGGCGGGTTCTGGAGTAGTAGTACAGTCGTCGGGTACGGGATTTCCAAGTGAAATTGTCACGAGGGACAAAAGGAGAATAAAGACCGAAAATCTTAGGACAACCATATTAAATATATATATATATATACAGAAAGGTCTATATAGATGCACGTCGTTAGGAATAGTTCCAAGACGTGCAATTTATAGAAGATTAAAATTAAAAATTAGCCAATAATATTTATTCAAATTTATATAACGTTCTTTAGTGATACCCATTCAAATTTTTGGTCAAACCAAAATAATAACCAGAAGTAACGTTGTTTCAATTGTTTGGGAAACGCATTAAAATTCTGATTACCTGGATACAGTGAAACATCTTTAAGTGCACGCGCTCGGGACCAGATTTTACAGTAACAACGTGCATTTTTAAAATAATAGAAAAGGTGCATTTATTGAGAATATGTATATATCCGTGCCAGAATCTGAGTGTACATTTAAAAAGGTGAGCATTTATAGAGAGTACTATATAAAATTCAGTGTTGTTTTACTATTATATACATCCTTTAATGCTGCTGACTAATCCTAAATATTCGTCTTGGCAAGATCATATTTTGATCAAGAGAAATATTTTGAAATCAAAAATGTAGTTAATCTCATGTATGTAACACTACTAATTTAACAAAATTCATTTCATTTAATTTCATTTGTGAGGTAAACATAAAAACAGTTTTACAATAATTATGCAATAAATTAATATCTTCCAGTGTCGCTGCCAAGCGTTCTACATATTTAAAAAAAAGTAACACTAAGAAATTGGATTAACTTGTAATTGCTTATAAATCTGTAAATTTTAACTTTAAATTTTATTTGACATACTGTATACCATTTTAACAATGTCCAATTCAATTCCTCTATTAATTTCTATATATTTATATAATTAATTTCTATATATTTGTATATTTAATTTCTATATATTTATATATTTAATTTCTATATATTTATATATTTAATTTCTATATATTTATATATTTTTAATTTCTATATATTTATATATTTATATATCTAATTTCTATATAATTATATATTTTGAATTCATTTCCATTATTATTCTTTTTTTCTTGCGTAATGAATATAATAATTGACATCATAAACTATTAAAGCACCTTTTGTAATATATAAACATTGGTATTTGTTCACGTAATTTATATTCAAATAAATTAGGGAACTAATGCACGTGAACAAAAGGTGTGGAAATACCAGTTCCCTAAATGTAATTCGTTATTTTTTTTAATAAATTATTTGGCGTATAATTAAAAATTGGATAAATTTTTGAATGAATACAATTATTGATGTTTAATGTTACATTTTTACATTTAATAAATTTCGTGGATAACAATTAACCAATAAAGTTTAATAAACTTTGCACTTTAGTACCTAACAATACAATTAATTCAATAAAAATTTCGGAGAAAACATATCAAGAAATTCAAGATGTAAACTTTTAGACAGATGCACAACAATGTACCGTAAATTTACCTTCAATAATTCAAATAAGGAAATCGAATAAAAAAAATTAGAAAAAAAAGGCTTATTAAAAATTCGGAATAAATATTTATTAGAAGTACAAAGAATTAATTAAAAATTGTATTTCCTTATTTAATATATATTAAAGGTATTAAAGATTATAGTTTCTCTTATTTTATAAGTACGTACTACGTAGCACATTTATGCATAACCATAACTTAATTAACATTAAGCTCATTAGGCAATGTCGTGGTTGCATATTGATCACAATATTGATGATCTAATATTTATTATTAATATACAGTATTCGATTATGGACATAGATATTTATGCATTTACATATGGGTGACATTGTTACAATTTTAATATTAAATTAAATTATTACAATAACATAGTGTACAAAGAAATTATCGAAGGTAAACGCCAATTATTGGATGCGAAACATTAAATAACTGTATTATCCTTGGAAATGCCATATAAAAAAGAGCTTGTATAAATTTGTTTATTAAAAAAAAGGTACCATTTTTGGTTTATTTAAGTAAAACAAAGACAAAAATTAGACAAAATGGCGCCTTTTTTTAGTATTTTTTTTTACACATGTAATACAATTATTAAATAACCCATTTTTATCCGGCAGCTTACTATTATAGTGCTTGCCAAATAACTCGAGTTATTTGGCAGTGATTACGTCATCTGCCAAATAACTTCGTTATTTGGCAGCTT